GGACCGCAGGGACTCGGCATCACCCAGCGCCACCGGTGGCCTCGACCCGCTGGACTCCGCGCGCTCGCGCCTCTCGTCCAACTTGTGACCCTCGCGCGCCGCCCCGCGGGCCGCCGCCGGGCGGGGCCTCATCCAGACCAAAGCCATGCCCTCCCCGCCCGCCGCGCAGAAGCCATAGAGGGACGTAGGTAGTCGCATCGGACGGGCGGCGGGCAGCCCTCACGCCCGGCTGTCCCCCACTGCCCGAGCCCATCCTCATCGCCCCGCCCCGGCGGCAGCCGCGCCGAACGAGGGGCTCCCTTCACCTCGGTGCCTCAGTTCCCCCTACTGGAGGCGGGGACGGGGCTGGCCCCTGGCCGCGAGGAGATGGCTGCGGAGCCCGCCCGACTGCCCTGGTAGGTGCCCGCCGGCTTCCCGCTGTCCCCACCGTGCTCACGCAATAACCGGCCCGGTCCCCGTCCCACGCGCCCTGCCGCCACCGCCCCTTCCTCCAGCACCGGCATCGGGGGCGGGCATCCCGGCCCGCAGGCGGACGTGGGGGCGAGGCCGGGTCCCCGCCGTCGCGATGAATGTACTGACAGCCGAGGCAGCAGCGCACACCGTGGCCCCCACGCCCCATTAACCCTCGCCCCCATTCCGCGCAATAAACGACAGCACTGGCGCCCGGAGCGCGGCGTCTCATTGCTCAGCAAGGGCCCGCACAGTCCCCCTCACAAAGCAGCTCCGTGGGTGGTGACAGACTTTATTTACACTGTTCATGGGGCGCCCTGGGACAGCGGGCAGGGCCTGCGTCAGCTGAAGAAGTAGGTGGAGCCCTTCACCTGCTCCAGGTCGAAGTCCCCTGTGGAGGGCCAGCCCGTGGGTGAGCAGGCACGCGTGGGAGGGAGGCGCACCCCGCACCCGCACCTCTCTGCCCCGTACCTTTCCGCGGCACGGACCGCAGCGTCTCCAGCAGCTTGGCAGTCTGCGCGGCGTCTGTCCCAGGGTGAGGGCTGGAGGAGGGCAGGGAATGAGGCCGGGCCGAGGGCCGAGGTCGGGGTAGGGTCAGGACTGCGGCAGGGCTGGTGCTCACCTGTCTGCCGAGCAGAAGCGCCGCACCAGGAAGGCAGACAGGTCCTCCAGGATGGGCTGGCTGTGCAGCCTCACGAACTGCTCGCGGCACACCTGTGAAGGCACGAGGGGCGCCTCAGGCGGGCAGGGACCTGGGCAGCACCCGCGGGACACACGTGGGCTGCGGACCAACGCACCTCGTTCATGACGGGGATGTCGCACGCGTGTGTCCAGAAGCAGTCGTGGACAGACACGAAGGTCAAGCCCTTCCTGCAGCACAAGGGGCACCCGTGAAGGGGTGGGGTGCCTCCCCACTCCCCTAGCTCGAACCCTCTGCACCAGCCCCCACAATCTACTAGAAGGGAAGGGTCAGGTGCAGCCCCGCTTGCAGATGCAGTCTCCACCACCCACAGCTGTCCCAGGCCAGAGCCATACGGGTGGGGCACACAGCATCCTGAACCCCAAATAGCCCCATGGATGTTTGGGGCGAGACTGTCCACACGGGCTCCTGGCTCCATAGGGCAGAAACCCAGAGACCTGAGCCCCAGAATGACTTCCCTCTTCCCACGTGCCACGGGGGCCTCGTGGCAGAGACCTCAGGTGTCCCCCTCCCCGGCACCATTACCTCACTGCACTGGGCCTTCGCACACGCACCGCTCCGCGAGACAAGCACGCACAGAGCCCACCCTGGCCTGACCCCGTAAGCAGTGTCCACGTGCTGGCCTTGGCCCGCAGGCATCAGGCCTGGCGTGCCGCGGTGGACAGGGACAGCAGTGCCCACCTGTAGCAGTGCAGGGCTGTGAGCATCATGTGGCAGGAGTCCAGCGAGTGGATAAAGTTGGGCGGGAAACCGTTCTTCTGCCTTAACAAATTGGGCTTCCTGGGGGAGAGGCCGGCCGGGTCGGGGCTGAGCGGGGCTGGGCCAGCGCCCCCCGCCCCCTCTCCCAGCCGGGGGCCCCACTCACTGGCTGGCATCCACGGAGCTGTTCCAGGTGATGCTCTGGAGGCCGCCTCTGATCTGCAGGTGGGGTGGGCAGTGGGACCATGAGCCCTATACAGCTCGGGGACAGCAGCAAAAAGGGGTGCACAGAGGTTCACGTACCACCAGCTTGGACTCCTGATGATAGGGCTGAACAATGGGGACGCCCAGGGGTGTCACCCACTCCACGGCCGAGCCGGCTTGGGCGATTAGCCGGGCACTCTGGGTCAGCCAGTGCTGTGAGACACAGGCGCCGGCTCAGTCCGTCCTCATGAGGCCAGGGCTGAGCAGGGTGTGGCAGACGGGACGCGGGGACACACCTGGATGGTCCGGGTGCCTGCGAACATCTCCTGGAGGCTCTTGAAGACCAGGTGCACAAGGTACTGGGAGGCCTCCCACACGAAGACCTGGGGACAGCGTGGTGTCCACACCTGCGCTTCCCATGCCCAGCCTGGAGCAGTGGCCAGGGAACCCCTTCCCCAGCCAGTCCCAAAGCAGGGGCCCATGAGACCCAGGACCCCACCATTCCTGGAGTGGTAGGAGGCCACAGGACCCTCTACCGCCAGAGTGGGGAGCACTGCGGCCATGTTCAGTGAGGGAACGAGGCCTGGGATGGGGATGGGACAGAGCGGGCTGGGCTGAGGCCTCACACCTGCGGGAAGTCTCTGATCTCACGGAGGCGCTTCTCAATCTGCAGGCGCCCGCCGTAAATGGTGACACCATAGACCACGGTCATGACCGTCTGCTTCACTACCTTTCGGCTGATGAAGCCCTCCAGCACCTGGGCCACCTTCAGGCCCTGCTGTGCGTCCTGAGTACGGAACACCTCCACCTGTGGCAGCGGGCGGTCAGTGCCATGAGGGAGGGGAGTCCCAGCCTCCTGTCTCACCCCCACCTAGGGTCGAGTTCCACGTCCTGATGGGCTGTGAGGCCACCCACCTGTGCGGCCACCCCACTGTACACATCCTGCGGCTCATCTGCGGGCATCAAGTTGACAGAGGCAGCACCCACGCTGTCACGGCCCAAGGCGGCGTAATGCTGCAGGCCATTGCAGGAGCCATCCTGTGTGGGGACAACCGTGAGCCCAACAACCCTCCCCTTTGTCTGTCTGTCCCCTACCATGTAGGGAACTGGAGGACACATGCAAACATGGGGGTCCCCACAGCCAGACTCCCTCCCACCCAGGACACAACTGTGGAGCCCTGTTGTGGGTACCCACCTGGTGAACGGGCAGGTGGGAGACATAGGCCGTGGGGTCTGGGGACCGCACAGCCCGGGCCACCTCCATGCAGCAGGCCAGAGTCTGCCAGGGGTCCTCAGCCTCCATCCACCACTTCCGGCCCTGCAGGGGAGTGGGGGAAGCCGGGACCAGGCTGTGGGACAGGCCCAGGGGACACAAGCAGAGGAAAGGGACCCAAAGGGACTGGGCTGGACATATGCCCGAGTGTGGAGCAGGGGACAGGATGCCAGAGTGGATGAGGGGCCCCAAGGCACAGAGAGGAAGAGACAGAGACGGGAGTGGGAGTCCAGCGCACCGTCATGGGCCGGTCAGCTGAGTCCAGGATGTCATCCATCATGGTGTTGGCAAAGGCCAGGCGGGCGTGCAGTGGCTCGCGCTTCTTGAGCCCAGTGAGGTTGACCAGGTGGATCTTGAGCCAGCTGAGGCCGTGGGGGCCGAGTGGGCGGCCCTGGGCGAACTCCAGCAGGGCACGTGCCAGGTCGCTCCCCAGGTGGTTGAAGTGGGGTGGGCAGGGGTAAGTGCGGCCACGGAAGTCCATGTTGTGCGGCAGCCAGAAGACTCGGTGCCGCAGGTGCTGGGCCAGCGACAGGCGGTACAGAGCCTCCTGCCGCAGCCCGTGCATCTCACGGGCAACCTTCAGACAGCGGGCCACCTCCTGCCGCAGCTGGGCCTTGCGGTCCGGCGGGGCATTGCGCAGCAGGTGGTCCAGGGGCGGGCGTGGCGCCTCAGAGGTGGGTGGTGGGACGCCCAGGCGGGCGCAGCCCTTGTTGTGGAAGACCTCCAGCACCAGGTCCAGCACGCGCCCATTGACACGCCAGGCACAGTTGCCCAGCTGCGTGACGGTGTCCAGGGCTCCGTGCAGCGCAGCGGGCGTGCAGCTCTCCAGCAGGTGCTGGTGCTGCAGCGTGCCCTCCACGGAGCGCATCAGCTTGGTGGGGCTCAGCAGGAAGCCTCCAGCCTGAGACGAGGTCCAGGGCAATGGGGGGCACAGCATGGGCATGTCGGCCGCCTCAAAGATCAGCATGGGTTCTGCAGCATCCTCCAGCAGCTGGATGAAGGCCGGATGCGGCCTCAGGAGGCCAATCTAGGGGAGCAGACAGGCAGTAAGACCCCAACTCATACTGCCTACTGCTATGTACCAACCAAGAACGAGGTAGAAATGGAGGAACATCGCCTACAGATGCAAAGGGATCCCTGGGCATGGGGTCCTCCAGCCTTGCAACCCCACGGCTGGGGAGGGCCCTGGCCCCACACACCTGGCGAATGCCACGGAAGGTGTACACATGATATAGCACTGGGACCGGGTGGGAGGAGCTCTGGGGTGGGGCCAGGCTGGGTGGCAGCTGCACTGACTGCACCAGGATCTCCAACAGCAGCTTGCCCAGCGGCAGGAGCTCCATCATGGGCCAGAGCTGTGGCGGCGGGGGCTCAGGCAGCCCCAGCGTCTCCCAGTACTGCCGCGGCAGGCAGGGATCGGCCACCTGTGGGGAGGACAAGTCAGGCCTCGGGCCCAGGCACCCACAGCACCCAGTTCACACCTGGGGAAACTGAGATCTGGGCTTCTATGCCTCTCTGCAAAGTAGGGGAGAAAGAAGGGAGAGAGGGTGGCACCTGGGTGTCACAGGCAAGCAGCTGCAGGTACTGCGTATACCGCTGCTCCAGCGCCTGCAGCTGGCCTCGGCGCTGTCTCTGCTGCACAATGTGCCGCTGGAAAGTCTGCATGGCCAGCCGGTGCACCACATGCACGAACGGCTCACCCTGGGCAGGCAGCGCGAACAGGAGCTGGGGGCACAGGCGGCGGCATTAGCAGCTGCCCGCCCCAGTCCTGCCCCCACCCCCAGGCACGGGGCGCCACCTGTATGAGCATCTCCACCAGCTGGTCCTCAGGCAGCACGCACAGGAAGGGGTAGAGCGTGAGCCGCCCCTGGCACGTCACCTGAGCCAGGTTGGCCTTGGTTGCCTGCAGCTGGTTGTGCAGCTCAGCCTCCCACGTCCTCCGCAGGGTCTCCAGGGTCTTCCGCTGCGGGGGTCAGGGATGTGGCTGGTCACCCAAGCACACAGGCCAGTGGGGACAGTGTCCCATCTGGACCTCATGGGACCTGGCGCACAGAGCCCACCCTTACCGCCGCAAGGGTCTCCTGGGTCGGTGACAAGACCTTCTCCACGGATTCCACTTGAACCTTGCCGGCCAGCTCTACCTTCAGCTGCTCCTGGAACATGGCCTGCAGCGTCTCCAGCGGGAGGTGCAGCTTTGGGTAGGACACAGGGCCGTCCTGTGGGGGCAGCAGGAGGTGACCCAAGGATGCACTCAGCTTGCCCAGACTCTGTGGTCACAGCCCTACCTCCTGCCAGTGACACTGGTCTGCTGCCCACAGGGTCAGAGTCGGGCTGCAGTTCTTTGTGTCCTTGGATGTTGGATATTTTCTTTGCAGACCTGGTGTGGCATGGATGCGTAGCCTTCCAAAAGCAGACAAGCTACAAACAGGGATAAGAGCTGCATGTGGTGGCACCTGCCTGTGATCTCAGCACTCGGGAGGCTGAGGCAGGAGGACTGCCATGAGTTCATGGCCAGCCTGCACTGCAAATCAAGATCCTATCTCAAAAAAAAAAAAAAAAAAGGGTAGGGGGTACAAAAAGCCAGGCATGGTTACACATGCCTCTAATCCCAGCACGCAGGAGGCTGAGATAGGAGGATCACCAACAGTTTGGGGCCATGTTCATTACATAGTGAGTTCAAGGCCAGCCTCAACCACATCTGTCTTCTCAAGAGTGTACACATCTGTCCATAGCAGCCAGAAGGTGAATTCAGCCCAGGTCCGTCCAGACTGGAATATTACTCAGCCAGGATGAGAGCACAGCTGTGATACTCGCCCCAACACGGACAGACCTTGGGAACACTGTGCTCAGTGACAGGTGCCAGACACAGAGGACACACAGCGTAGGCTTCACAGACAGGAAACACTCAGCACAGGTGACTCCAGAGACGGGAAGTAGCCTCGTGGGTGCCAGGACTGGAGAGGGGACGGGCAACTCTCATGGGGACAGGCTTCCTTTGGAGTGAGGGAACACTGTGGACCCAGGCAGAAGTGGTAGCTCCAGGGCTGGGTGAGCACACCCACACCCTCTGAGGTATACTACTCTGGAAAGGGTGGGCTATCAGGGCTGTGAAAGCTACCTCAAGAACAGAAACCCTGGAGCCACCCACCTGGTGGCCCCTGGATGTTGCCCACTGGCTCCTGAGGTTCACACCCCGCCCACCCCCACCCCTGCCCCACTCCAGGCTGAGACCGGCTCTGGCTCCTCGAATGTGCATGAAGCGGGGAGAAACCCAGAGCTGGTGGCGGCCAGGGGGACCCAAGGGCAGGGTGGCCTGGGTGTGCTGCAGCAGGGCTGCCACTCTGCCTGGGCACAGCCTCTGCCCAGCTCACCTTGGCATAGATTTCCCTGAGCAGCGCGGAAGTGTTGACCTGCGGTGAGGGCTGTGGTGGGCAGAAGTCGGGCTTGGCCTTGAGCACAGCCCGCAGCAGGGCAGCCCTCTCCTCACTGGACAGGGTCTCCTCCAAGAACAGCTGCTCCAGCTGCAGGCCATCCTGGGCCATCTGCTCCAGACACCTTTGGGCAAGAAGGAGCACACACGGGATGGGGCACGCTGACGTCTTCATGCACAAAGCCCACCCCACGGGACCTTGTGCCCACCTCCCACGTCTCACCCTGCAGGTCTAGATGAGCACACTGTGCCCCCGGGGCACAGCGGGCGTCCACCTACCTTTGGATGGTGGTGACATCCTGGTCTACCCGCCCCATGCACTGCAGGATGGAGGCATAGGACAGCAGGTCTGGGGTGAAGCCGCTGTATTTCATCATGGTCAGCACAGACACTAGCTCTTGGTAGGAGCCCTGGGGACACCATGCCAAGGTGAGGGTCCCAGGGACGGTCCAAGTTCCCTCACCTCTGCTCCCTCCAACCACTGATTTACGGTGGGGAACTGGGCCAGTTAAGTGGACAGATGGGTCCACCTAACATCGCCAAGAGGTACATATCCCTCAGGGGCAGCAAGCACTTGTTATTTTTTGAGCTGGGTGTGGTAGTGCACAACTATAACCTCAGCATTCTGGAGGCTGAGGCGGGAGGATCACCACAAGTTCGAGGCCAGCGTGGGCTACATAGTGAGTTCAAGGACAGCCTGAACTACATGGTGAGTGAGGCACTATTTCAAAAAATAAAGAACAAAAAAAACCAAGCAAACAAATAAAGAAGTTTGGATAGGACAAGCCAGAAGAAAACCCAGTAACATGGGAGCAGAATCTTTCCTTTTTGATCATTTTCAAAATTTCCTGTGACATATTTGAAAAACCTAAAGTAATTATCATTGTAATGAACAAAGGATTTGTGATGAGGCTCGCCTGTCATCCTAGTCATTTGGGAGGCCGAGGCAAGAAAAGCCCAAGTTCAAGCTCAGCCAGGACAAATTTCTGACTTAATGAAATCTTGTCTCAAAACAAACAGAAAACTCCAAAGGACTTAACTTTGGGGCCACAAGGCAAGGGTGGGCAGGGACAGGGCAGGTGTCATCCTATCCCTCGAGGCCCTCACCTGTCGAGCCCAGCCAAGCATGACGGTATTGTACATGGCCTGGGTGAGCAAGTACTGCTTGTGCAGCTCGGCGAGGTGGCTGACCAGCATGTGGTGGGCGAGGGCCACCTGCCCACTGGCCAGGCAGCATTCGAGGAAGACCTGAAGCCTTTGTTGCTGTGCCTGCTGCTCCAGGGTCAGTTTCGGCAGGGCCTGAGCGCTGCTGCTGCTCGGCTTCAGGGAGGCTGCCCACGGCTGCGAGGGCACCCACTCCTCCCAGGTGCCCTGCACGAGCTCCGGTGCAGGCCCTTTCCTCCTGTGTTTCTTGCTGGCCTGCTGCTTGCTCACCAGCTGGGGCTCAGCAAGTGGCGGCTTGGCCATGGCCACATGCTTGGCCTTGGGTGTGGCTGTGGATGTGGCTGAGGGCTTGGCCTGGGCCTTGGATGCAGCCACAGATGTGGCTTCCGGGTTGGGCTTGGGTGCAGCCGTAGACGTGGCCGTGGGCTTGGGGTTGGCCTTGGATGCAGCCATAGACGTGGCCGTGGGCTTGGGGTTGGCCTTGGGTGCAGCCGGAGACGTGGGCTTGGGGTTGGCCTTGGGTGCAGCCGTGGACGTGGCCGTGGGCTTGGGGTTGGCCTTGGATGCAGCCGTAGACGTGGCCGTGGGCTTGGGGTTGGCCTTGGGTGCAGCCGTGGACGTGGACGTGGGCTTGGGGTTGGCCTTGGGTGCAGCCGTGGGCTTGGGGTTGGCCTTGGGTGCAGCTGTTGACCTGGTCGTAGGCTTGGCCGTGGCCATGGGTGAAGCCATGGTCATGGATGTAGCTGTGGCTGTGGCCGCAGACTTGGCTGTAGCCGTGGCCACAGTTTTGGTGGGGGGCTTGTCTGTGGCCATGGGCTTGGCTTTGCCCTTGGACTTAGCCTTGACCTTAGGCTTGAACTTGGGGATCGGGAACTGACCGTGCACCTGCAGCTTCTCCTGCAGTAACTTCTGCCGCTTCTGTAGCACCTGCTGGTCCTGGTCCAGCCTCTTTGCCCAGCCCCTGCTGATCTTTAGCTGGGACTTCACAGGTGGCGGGGTGCCACCAGCCCTGCCACTGTCAGCTGGGACTCGAGCTACCTCCACCCTCTTCACTGTCACTTCGGATACACTCTCCGCCTGCAGCTGCCGCACCCGGGCCTCCAGCACTGAGGAGAGGGGAGGGGGGGACCTGCTCAGTGCCAGAACACACACTCCAGCAGCGAGAGCCATGGAGGCCACATCTGGCTTCCTGGCATGGACCAGACATCACGCTTACACCCCCCACTCGCTTGGGGCCTCTCCACGAAGAGCCTAGATCAGCTCTGCAGTCCTCCTGAGCGAGCATGACCTAGCTGCAGTCCTCCTGAGCGAGCATGACCGCGTCTCTCCATCACCACCCCCACTTTCTCCAGGTGCCCAGGCTCAGCCCCTGGCACCTCCCACACCTCTCCATGCCAGACCTTGATCCTGGTCTCCCCCTCAAGCGCTTCACTCCAGCTCTGCCTGTTTCACTCTGCTCCCTCAGGGCCTCTGCAACGTGCATTGCCTCTCTCTGAACACTCAGCAGACCCTAGCTGCCTATTCCCAGTCTTGACTGCAGCACGCTGACCGCGGCCTTGCCTGGTTCATCCTCCCACCGCTTCTTTGCATCCTCACTGCGCTGTTCTGCACCACCACAGAGAATGCCCACTGGCCAGTGCTGAGCCTCTGCTCCTGGGAGATGGGCAAGCCAGGCTCCTGTGTCCTCCAGTCACTTTTCTTTTTTGGTCTTTTTGAGACAGGGTCTCGCTATGCAGTTCAGGCTGGCCTTGAACTCACAGTGATCCTCCTGCCTCAGCCTCCTGAGTGCTGGGATTACAGGCGTGCACCACCATGCCCAGCCCTCCCGTCACTTTTTGTTGCTGTTGTTTTTTGGGATTTTTTGAGGCAGGTTCTTTCTAGGTAGCCCAGGCTGGCCTCAAACTTGTGATCCACATGCCTCAGCCTCCCAAGTGCTAGGATTAGAGGTGTACCTCAACGCACCCAGCTCCAATCATGTTTTTACCAAGTGACCAATACATAGCTCTGCTTTTGCATTTTTCTTTTTTTTGGGCGGAGGGTACCAGGAATCGAACTCAGGACCTCGTGCTTGCCAGACAGGCACTTGTGCCACCGAGCTATATCCCCGGCTCCTGGGTTTCTCTTTAAAGATCCCTTCTTGCCAAGCATGGCGGCACATGCCTGTAGCCCTAGTACTTGGGAGACTGAGGCAAGAGGCTCACCTTGAGTTTGAGGCGAGACTGGGCTACATAGTGAGTTGAAAGTAAGTCTGTACTACATAGCCAAACTGGTTTTTTAGGGTATTTTATCGCCACACTGTTTTTTTAAAAAAGAGATTAAAATTAATTTTTAAGAGGGGCATGGTTGCCGGGCGTGGTGGTGCACGCCTGTAATCTCAGCACTCAGGAGGCTGAGGCAGGAGGATCGTTGAGAGTTCGAGGCCAGCCTGAGCTACAAAGTGAGCTCAGGGTCAGCCTGAACTGCTTAGTGAGACCCTGTCTCAAAAAGACCAAAAAAAAAAAAAGAGGGGCATGGTGGCATATTCCTATAATACCAGCACTCAGCTGAGGCAGGAGGACTGTTTCAAGTTCAAAGCCAGCCTGGGTTCCATAGTGAGTTCTAGGTCAGCTGAACTACATAGTGAGACCCTCTCTCAAAAAACAAGAAAAAAAAAAATTAGTTTTTTAAAAAGCCCTTCTTTAGTATATCACACCATTTGTTGATGGGGAACTCATGACCTACAGCTCTGGCACTCATGTGTGAATGGAGTTGGTCTAACAACTCCATTTTCTCCTGAAGGATTGAACGTCAGTGCTTCACACAGGGCCCATTCTGAACAGCAAGTTTGCTGGGTGTGGTGGTGCAGCCCTGTAGTCCCAGCACTTAGAAGGCTAAAGCAGGAGGATCACTGTAAGTTTGAGGCCAGCCTAGGCTACACAGTGAGTTCAAGGCCAGCCTGAATTACATAGTGAGTCCTTGTACCAAAATACCAAAACCAGGCCAAGTGTGGTGACACACCCCTGTAATCCCAGCTCTAAGGAGCCTGAGGCAGGAGGATCACTGCGAATTTGAGGCCAACATGAGCTACATAATGAGTTCAAGGCCAGCCTGCACTACATAGTGAGACCCTGTTTAAAAAAAACAAAACCAAAAAACACCAAAACAAACCAGCAAGATCACTACAAGGCACAAACATGCAAGAAACTTGGCACTAAACATTCACATCAGGGGCTGGAGATTTAGCTCAGCAGCACAGCGCCTGCCTGGCAAGCGCAAGGTCCTGGGTTCGATTTCCAGTACCGGTAAAAAAAAAACAAAAAAAAATTCACATCAGCCAGGTGCGGTGATGCACAACTATAATCCCAGCACTTAGGAGGCTGAGGCAGGAGGATCGCCATGAGTTTGAGGCCAGTCAGGGCTACCAAGTGAGTTTGAGCCAGTTTGCACCTAGTGAGACCCTGTCTCAAAGAAAAAAAAAAAGAAACAAAAAACGAAAAGAAAGGAAAAAAAAACATGCCACATAAAGGACCCCTTGTTTATATCTAAGCTGAGGGAATGCAGGCTAGCACCTCGTGGCCTGGGAATGGTGTGGCGATCAAGTTGCCCTTCTGTGCACGCTTGCAAGGCATGGTTTCCAGGTTACACACCAGCTTGGGTGGGCAGGTGGGCGCGCAAACACAGAATCCTAGAACAGTAAGATCCAACTATACCTGCTCTCCTCTCCACCTCCTCACCTGGACCCCAGCCCATCTGCCCTGCACTCAGCCATGCTGGCAGTTGATGGCCAGCACTGAGAAGGGCTTGGGCCAGATTTGTTGCAATGAAATGAAAAAATAATAGTGGTTTTGGCCCTCAGAGTACTCCAAATCTCAGGTCACATCTTTAGGAAAAAAGGGTGGAAGGCATGGAGAAGGGAATGAGGTAGATCTGCTACAGATTTCTCTAGGGGAGGTAACAACTGAGCAGAGGCGTGGGAGGTGAGAGACACCAGCTTTATGGGGAGCGGGGCAGAAGCTGGTGCAAAGGCCTTGGCGTAGAAATGGCTCATCCCTCTCTCAGTACAGAGGCCAGTTTTGGCTGCTGCAGAAGGTGGGTTTGTGGCCCACAGAGTGGGGAGTTGTTTTTCTGCTGAGGAGGGGACAAAACTGGAGAATATATGTTTGGGACGTCCCTCTGGTTAGATGATGAGTTTGGGCCTTGCTGTAAAACAAGTAGGCAGATAAGACAGGGAATATGGCTGCTGAAGGTGGAAGGTGACTCCACCTCTCTTTGCTCTCATATGTTAGACTTTTCTATGATTTTCTATAATAACAAGCTCTTTTTTTTTTTTCTTTTGTCTTTTTAACACAGGGTCTCGATAGGCAGTTCAAGCTGCCCTTGAGCTCACTTTGTAGCCCAGGCTGGTCTCGAACTCGCAACAATCCTCCTGCCTCAGCCTCCTGAGTGCTGGGATTACAGGGATTACAAGCTCCTTCCACGCCCCGCCCTCCCCGGCCAACATCCTGGACTTAGAATATGGGCAGGAAGGGGAATCAAGATGCTGGACACTGGCCTGGACAAGGAGGAAGCACAAAGACACCAAGCCTCCCTCTGACCACAGGCCCTTGGCCACCTTGTCAGCTAGATTTGCTCACCCAACTTTCACAACAGAGATCAGCAGTTGAGGGTTCAAGTCTGAGCTCTGCACGTGTAGCTACACATGCCCCTCGGGCTAATTCAGAGCCCCAACCTACAAGAAGGAGCGCCAGTGGGATTGCGGAGTGGGAGAATCAAGAGCTCGGAGCCAGCTTGGCACACGGCAAGAGCCAGGAGGACACACGTGGGATGCCTGATCAGTCAGTGCCAACCTATGTCACCACCCCAGCTGAGCCTGGGGGCCAGACCCTGGGCCTCAGGGTCGTCTCTCATACTAGGAAGCCTGCTCCCTCCTCGTGGGGTCACCGTGGAGACCCAGAGGGTGACCCCAGCATAGGATGGAGCTTCAGCCCCTACTCACCCTCCAGCAGTTCTACACGGCCCCAGTCCTTCTGGCGCTCTTGTTCACAGGGGCTGGCGGACGAGTTCATCCTGGGGCCCCAGAGGCCACCGAGGATCCCTGGGGAGAGAAAAAGGAGGCTGAGCGCGCCTAGGGCTCCTTCGTGAACGAACTGCAGCGTCCAAGAGCAAAGGGGCCCTAAAGTTAGCGGGAACCAGCAGCTGTCAAGGGGCCAGGGGCTTTGGACCAAGTCAGACGTCAGCGTCCCCGCGGCGCGGACCCCCTCGGGAGGCGGGGCTGGGAGGCGCGGGTCCAGTCCGCGGCTTTCCCCGGGCTCTTCAGGGTAAAGGGCAAAGGTTGGGAGATCACGGGCCACGGAAGCCGAAGGTCACAACCGTGAGGCAGAAGACGGAGAGGCGAAGAGTCGCCCCAGGCCACGGGACCTGGGCGAGGTTACCTTCTTTGGCCATGGCGCAGGGGCGGCCCGAGGACCGCAGCGCCCTGCTCAGCTCCGCCGCGCCGCGGCCCCAGCGCAGGGCAGCCATGCTGCCTGCCTGGGCGCCTGCCCCGCGCATGCGCGTGCGCCGCCTGCCGGGAGTTGTGGTTCAGAGGCCGATGGGAGCTGCGAAGGGTCACTTGGGCCGGAAGTGTGCCGCCAGAACCACAACTCCCAGGAGGCAGCCGGGCCAGAGAAAGCAAGGCTTTCGCTAGAGAAGCCTTCTGATTGGTTTTTCCCTGTGCACAAGGAGAGGGCTGAACCTCTGTTGCCTTGGCAATTTGGGTGCATCTAAGGCCGCCTTTGGAAGATCGAGAATCTGTTTTCAGTTTTCTTTTTTTTTTGGGTTTTTTTTTTAAAGCATACTCACCTGGGAGATTGAGGAGTACATCAGAAAATGGAAAGACATCCTTGTTCTTCTATAGGAAGAACCGATGTAGTGAAAATGGTCATACTTCCAAAATTGTTATATAGATTTAATGCAATCCCAATCAAAATACCAAAAGTATATCTTACAGAATTACAGAAAACAGTCCTAAAATTCATTTGGAATCAGAAGAGACCTAGAATAGCAAATGCAATTCCGAACAACAAGGGCAAGGCAGGGCGCATCACAATCCCTGACTTAAATTATACTACAAAGCTACTATGATAAAAATAACATAGTACTGGCAAAAACAGACCTACGGGTCAATGGAACAGATTAGTAGATGCAGAAACAACTCCAGATACATTCAGCCACCTTATCTTTGACAAAGGTGCCAAATACGTTCACCGGAAGAAAGAAAGCCTCTTTAATAAATGGTGCTGGAAAAACTGGCTTTCTACATTCTGAAGATTAAAATTAAACTCATATGTCTCACCATGCACTAAACTAAAATTGACATGGATCAAAGATCTAAACATTAAAATACTCAGACCAAGGAGGCTGAGGCAGGATTGCCATGCATTTGAGGCCAGCCTGGGCTACATAAGCGAGTTCAAGGCCAGCCTGCACTACATAGCAAGACCTTGTCTATAAATAAATAAATAAATGTTAGAACAGAGACACTAAATCTGCTAGAAGATAGAACAGGCAGAACTCTCGAAGACATTGTGGAGGGAACCCTGATCACACAGAATATACCACGAAGAATCAACAACTGGGATCTCATCTTTTTTTTTTTTTGGTTTTTCTCCGGTACCGGGAACTGAACTCATGACCTCGCGCTTGCCAGGCAGGCGCTTTGCCGCTGAGCTAAATCCCCAGACCCTGGGATCTCATCTTATTAAACAGTTTTTGCACAGCCGGAGAAACCACCAACAGAGCGACGGGACAACCCATAGTGTCGGAAGAAATTTTTCCAAGCTGTTCCTCAGACAGAGGATGACTATCAAGAATGTATACAGAACTCAAAAACATCAGACCCCCCCCAAATTCAAAGACCCAAGCCAAAAATGGGCATCTGAGATAAATAGGCACTTCTCAGATGAAGAAGTACAAATGGCAAATAAATATATGATAAAATGTTCAACATCACTGGTCATTTGAGAGATGTAAATTAAAACAACACTGAGATTCCACCTCACCCCAGAAAGAACGGCTATCATCAAGAAATCAACCAGTAACAAATGCTGGTGAGGAAGTAAGGGAAAAGAACCCTCTCCACTGCTGGGGGGGAGTGTAAACAGGCATTTCCTGAGTATTTTCCTCATTCACTCACTCAAAAAACTAAAACTAGAGATTCCATTAGATACAGCTATTCCCCTTTTTGGTATCTTCATGAAAGAATTAAAAGCATCATGCCACAGCAATATATGCACATCCATGTTTATAGTGGAACAGTTTGTAATAGCTAAAACTTGGAAACAGTTCAAATGCCCATCAACCAATAAAGAAGATATGGGGTTTTTTATACAATGGACTACTACTCTGCCATAAAGAATGATAAGCTTGAGATATTTCTAGCTAAATGGATGTACCTTGAGTACATTTTTTTTTTTTTTGATACTTGGAATTGAACTCAGGATCTCGTGCTTGCCAGGCAGGCACTGTGCCACTGAGCTATATCCCCAGCACCTTGAGTCCATACTTTTAAGTGAAATGAATCAGACACATATGT